GCCCGCCACGGCGCCCTGCGGTAGGTGCCCGCGCACCCGCGCTCTGCGCCACCTGCACCGCGTGCCGCCTGCTCGCGGTGCCCGCTGCGTCCTGCGTGCTGTCTGCCAGCTCTGCCATGCACTGTTCTGCTCGTGGTGCATGCCATGCATGTGTGCCATCTGTGCCCTGCTGCAAGCTCTGCTGTGCACCATCCTGCCTGTGGTGTGAGCTGCACCATGCAGCATCCTGCCTGCAGTGCATGCTGTGCCCTGCATGCCATCTGCACCATGCTGTGAGCTTTGCCATGCACCATCCTGCCCATGCTGTGTGCTGCAGCATGCACCACCCTGCCTGCAGTGCTTGTCATGCCCTGCAGCCATCTGTGCCATGCTGCAAGCTGCGCTGGGCACTGTCCTGCCTGTAGTGCATGGCATGCCCTACATGCCATCTGTGCATGATTGCATGCTGTGCCATGTTCGCTGTGCTGCACTGTTCATCCTCCTGCCCATGCTGTGCCATGCATGTCTTGCCCACACTATCCCCATGCTGTGTCAGGCCCCATCCTGGTCACACTATGTGCCATGCTCTGTGTGCCATCTGTGCCCTGCTGTGAGCTGTTCCCCCTCCTGCGCGCAGCATGCGCTGTGCTGCACTGTCTTTGATCCTGCTCGCAGTGTGTGCCCCTCTCTGCGTGCCCTCTGCACCCTGGTGTGTGCCAACCCGCTGATGCTGTGCACTGTCCTGTGCCAGGCACTGTCCTGCCCGTGCTCTGTGCCATCTGCACCATGGACGAGCTGTGCACCGTCCTGCCCATGGCATGGGCTTTGCATCACCCCCCGCTGTGTGCCACCAGCACCCTGCTCTGTGCTGTGCCCCCTGCCACATCCCAGGGCTATGTCACTGGAACCGTGGTGCCCTGGGAGCCCTCTGCGGTGCACTGCTGTGCCCTGGGGCTGTGCCATCGGTACCTTGGGCCATGCTGCTCTATGCACCATCATGTGCCACCCACACACCATCCCATGCAGCTCCATGCATTATCCCCTGCAGCTTCATACACCGTCCCGTGCAGCTCCATGCGCCATCCACACGCCACCCCATGCATCTCCTGCACCATCC